TTCTGTTGTGAATTGGGGTTTGATTTGGAGAGTTTTAATGATAATTGTGACTCATAAAGTGAAATATGTTTGACGAAGAATCTAATTTCATAATGATAAAAATAATTTCTGTGAGAATAACATGTATATCATCATAGATAAAGTTGAGATTAGTTTAGTTAAATATAAAAAAAAAATTCTATAAATCCAACGGATATGTTGACAAACTTGTTACTTAGCATCAACTTTGAAAGGTGCATGGTAACACTGAATGACACCAAATGAGTTGAGTCAGTGGAAAAGCAAGATGTTTTTTTTTTTATATATCACCTCATAACAATGAGAAGTATAGATGGCTAAATCTGAAAACTCGACATAAGGATTCTAGATATAGCTATCAGTGAAGTAAAGAATCCTAGTTCTTCTTTTCTCTATCTCATTTTTCTCTTTTATCTTAGATCCTTGTCGGTCTCATTCGTTGCATTCTGGAGCCAAGCTGTCGGAGATCTCTAATGAACCAATCCATGTCTGTGTCTAGATCTCTTCTTGTCTTCTTTCTAGATATAGTTATCAGTGAAGTAAAGAATCCTAGTTCTCCTTTTCTCCATCTCATTTTTATCTTTAATTTTAGATATCTCATCCCAGTGGATGCACCAATCCTTTCTCTTTTAAATCTGGTTCAATGAAAGCTATATGTTGCAGATCTGGTTCGATGAAAGCAATATGTTGCAGATCTGCTTCTTCACTCCTTTCTATTCCTAGATCTAAGGCAAAGGTTAGGACTGGTGTACTCTCTTCTTCCTTCTTTCATTATCGCTTCATAGTAGGAGCTTATAACTAATTCATTCATACCTGCTTGTTCTTTATAATCATACACGTATATTTTTGATAAATGAAACATATCATATATATCGATATATACACTTATAAATTGTATTGTAATGTTTGAGCACCTAGATCTATTCATAGGTTACTAAAATGAAATATGGTTGTATGATGACTTAGACTTATATGCGGGTGTATGCTGTGTGGGGGAATAAGCATGTTTGGGTAAAGTATATAAGTTAGAGAAAGGCCTAAGGCATGTGTGTGCCGGCGGAACGTGATTGAGAGCTCTCGGGTGTTGCATCATTTCTTGATTGGTCATGCAGAGATCGAATAAAGTGGCATGATTCATCACCAGAGGCAAGCAGATGGCATGTCTGGATCGTGCAGGGACCAGATGAGATGGAGATATCGTGTTAATTTGGTGGTGGATCACTCGTGAACTGGTGTCGGTAGTGTGAAGTACAGATTTAGGTGGTGAGTTCTCACACGAAAACATGAGGAACGTGGGAACTGAATGAGATGGTGTAATTCATGTTGGGACCATCAGAGTTTATCTTTGTTTATTGTTGATTGCTCTGCTTTACTGAATGTTTTAGGTAGACTTTTTGCTATGTTGTGTGGTGAATGTTATGTGATGATTTCAGGGCTCCTAAATCTTCCCTCACTGAGTTTGTGTCAAAATGCTTACCTTTCTTCCTTCTCTTTTCTTTAGCATGTTCGGTTCATGGTGGGTTTCGTCAAAAATGTTATAGGATTCTACTTTGTTGAAAGACATAATCTTTCGGTCCTTGTTGCCAAAGACAAGTATCATGTTATCACCGACCATTTTAACTCTATTGGATCAGGGTGTGACACAAATATTCAAGCTTGAATAAGAAGAGGAGTTTAGTTTTAGAGATAATTGTCTCAAATAAAAGTAGAAGATATGTTTTCTTGTGGTAAATCTGAAAAGTTTGTAGAAATGGTTCATTCTCAATATCATCTCATTATTGAGGTAAGCCAGACTTTATGTGAATTTAAGTATAGTCCAACCTTAGTTTCTTTTTGACCTCTTCTTATTTCAAGATTATTGTAATTAGTTACAATCTCTTTATTATATCTAAAATTCATATATTTCGCAGAAAAACTTAGTTAAGCCACATAGAAAATCAACTTACAAATAAAATCACCATAATCTATAATAATAAAGTTGGGATATCTGCTCTTTTAGGCTATCCACGTCGCCTTTTTAAGATGGGGGTTTTCTCGCCACGTGTCGTAGTGTGGTTGGTGCTGTGACTTATGGATTTCAAATTGAAATCGAAACGGGCCTTTGATTATTTGAGGCCCATTTCATTCTCTGATTTTTTTTTTTCGCTTAGGTTTACCCTTTTCCTTCTTCGGCTGGGAAATCACAGACTAAAAGAAACCATGGGAGAGGTTTCGACAAACGTTACAACGTTTTGTTTTCTGCGATGAACGTCATCACTTCTTCGACATCTGAAAGGATCTCTCGCCAAATTTCACTACTTAAGAATCGTCTCACTGAACCTTACCTCAAATGCTTCGTCCATGTTTTAGAGAGCGTTCTGAAAACCGCTCAAAAGATCGACCAGAGGCGAGGAGCTAGGTCCTCTCGCCGGAGTACTGATCGGCGTCAAGGATAATATATGCACTGAAGGTAAGCCTTCCACCGCTGATTCTCGCATCTTAGAGCATTATCATCCGCAGTTCAGCGCCACATCGGTGAAGAAGGCTAAGGATGGATTATTGTTGGGAAGACGGATATAGATGAGGTCGGGATGGGAAGCCCAACTGAATCTTCTGACTGAATCTTCTGCCTTTCAGGTTTATCTCTGAAGAAGAAAGCTTAAGTCTTTATTGATGGGTAGCTTCTTCTTTTTTTGACTTTAACTTTGGTGAATTGATGGGTAACTTGTGATGCTTGAGGTTTGATTTTTAGTTTAAAGGTTGTGAATCCGTTGGACTTAACACGTGTACACGGAGGTTCATCAGGAGACTCAGCAGCAGCTGTTGCAGCAAGACAATGTATGGTGTCTATTGGTTGTGAAACTGGTCGGAGTGTGAGACAGCCAGCTTTGTTTTGTGGTGTTGTGGTCTTAATCCAACTTACGGGCATTCTTTAGGTTTAGACTAATGTCCTATGTATCTTCGTTGGATGTGATTGGTTGCTTTGGATCTACGTTTACTGATGCTGGATGCTTCTTCATGCTATCTCCGGTTATGATATGTTTGTCTCCACAAGTAGCAAACAGTAAGGCCGGTTTGTGTTTGGCGTTGTGTTATGCATCCTAATAAGACATAAATAAAGATCTTTGCAAAAAAATATATCTTTTCTTTTTACAGGATGTGCCTGAATTCCAGTCCCAGTTTCTCTCTGTTAATTCTTTTGCATCCAACCGTTGGAAGGAGTGAAAGTTGGTTTCATTCGCGATACGCTTGAAAATGGGGTTCAGTAAACATATTAGTATATTTTCATCATTCTAGCTTGTGACTAAATTATATTACTTTTAAATCGTTGGCTCACATGTTTTACTAGAAAATTAGTCAGCCGTTGGTCTCATACGTTTCATTATAAAGAAGACCATGATGAGCTACTCCGTTGTGTTGTGAGCGTGTACCGTACAGTCAAACGGTTCAAATATCTCATGGTAAAGACATTGCTACTCTCTCTTTTTGGATGTGTCTTGCTATTGGATTGGGTGGAGCAGGAAGCTCAAGTGCAACTGCTGTATGAATTCTAAGTGTTTAAGATGCTATATGTGGAAAAAATGTGAGATGGGTTTTGTTTTGTAACTGAAAGAAGAGTTGTTTATTTGTTAGTTTCCTTTACCTTTCGGTTGGCTACGTTAAACAAATTTTGTTTGGTTTAATGTTTGTTTTCTGTTACATTTTGTTTTAAACTTTGAAGAGTAATCCTAATGTTATAATAGCCTTTATAAGTTGAGAACAAAAAAAAAATTAGACTTGGTTGACACTGTGTTTAGTGCAACCAGTATGAGATTGTATTTTTGGTTAATATTATTTCGAAACAAATATTACAATTGAACAATGGTGATGACATCGTAAGCGTTAACTTTTTGGAAAAATACAGTAAGCATTATGTTAATAATTTTTAGAACAGAATTATTGAATTTTGAGAATAGAATTATTTATCTATTGGCGTCAAAGTACAATAAAAATTCTCTGGAAAACTTTGAATGATTAAAAGTCTTACATACTTTACCATAATGGGATGGGCTTACATAAACATAACTTTTGTATCCTAAGAGTTCACCTTAACAAATTTTTTTTTTTTGCAAATTAATTTATAAAAATTATTTGCATAAGTATTCACATATATACAATACCAACTCAATATTACTGAGTTTCCTCTATCTCACCCATCACAAAACATCAAAAATGAATTCAAATCATCCACACTTAATCATTGGAAAGCTCCTTAAAATTTCCAAAGAGATATCATGGAGACTGATATTATTGTGATACACATAAAAACTTTCTAATACGTGAATGTATAAATATTATTTTCCAAGTACTTTCGACTTTTTATGAGTTTTCAATACGTGCTAGACTCTTGAATATAAATAAATAATAAAATCTTTAAACAATATACATCTCACTAGCACCCGAAAAAACTACTAAAAATGTCATAAACAATTTAAATAAATATTAAAATAAATGAAAATATGCATTTAAATATATATACTTTAATGTTAAAACTAGACTATGTCGTAACAACACTTTTACCATTTATATTAGTAAATATACAATATGCTAAAATCTGAACTACTAAGTGTTACAAATGGATCAGCATAATGAATCTATAAATTACTTAACAATATAGCTATGAAATGATAACCTATAAACAAAAACTGATCATGTTGGTTTTAATGAAGTCATGGTCGTCACCGCCAACTGAAATTTCTTCACAGTTTTGGTTGTACGCATGTGAGACCAGAAAAACACAGAAATCAAAAATTAAAGGAAATTGGTAAACGCCTGTGTAGCTAAACCTAATTGCGTTAGTTTGTCTTATTTCTCTTTTTTTTCTGCATTTTTCCTGTAATTAAAAAACAGTGATTTCTTTCAATGTTTTCTCACTCTCTCACTAAATTGGTGTTGGCTACCATTATCACAACAATTCTAAAACAAAATACAACTAATATCCTGCGCGTAGCGCAGGCAAACCACTAGTATATTATGTTTCAAGCATCCAATTATATATATATATATATATATATCGTTGTTTATCGACGTTACATTATTCTTCAACATTTTTTTTTAAGAGAAAACATTATTCTTCAACGTTCCATGCTTGATGCTACAAACGGCGGTGTCCTTTTGTCCATGTTTCCTTGCCAACCTTTTCCACAGTCATAAAAAAAAAAGATTTATATTATTACTTGTAAACTTATTTGTATCAGTTTCATTTTAATTGATGTAAATCAAGTTCATATTAAAATAAACTATTTATGAATGATATAAAATTATTTATTTTAGTGTTAATTTCTCATTTGATTCTAGGCTGTGTTATTAATTTGATATTTATTACTGAAGAATGATACTTCAATATGTTTGGAGTAAGGTTGGACACAAATACTCGTTACTTATGTTATGTTGTTACTTATTATTTATTTTATATCTGACTAAAAATTAAATAACACTATAATAATTGAGAAGTCATATCATGTTTTCTCTATTTTTGTAATATGCGCAAATATTTAGTTTAAAATAACTTTTGTGTTTTTTTCCAGAGTACATAAAAGAACTTTTATTTCTTTTTAGTAGGGTGTTTTTTAGCAAGTAGATTTTGAAAACACAAAAATACTTATAAATAATTACAAGTATTCACAAGTAATAAGTAATATAGTAGAATAAAAAACGTGCAGGTAACGCATTCTTCAGTAAGTACTTGAAAGCAATTATTTATTTTCGACAAATTAAGTACAATCCAAAAATATAAAACAAACATACAACACCAAGTATTTGGCTTCCCGCCAACCCTAGTTTGGGACGATCTTGGGTGGTGGTCTAGTAATTAGCATATACACATATATGTTCTTAGAAACCTTCCCTAATTCAATTTCTTTAGAGTGAAATGATCTTAATGGAGACAAACACGCTTAATTTAGAAATGTCATCATTGCTTAAAAGAGTAGATAATAGATATTGGTTACCTAGTGAGGGATCAAGACCTCGATATTTGAGTTCACGGTGTTCTTGAGAAAGAGCACATGAGCAGCAGAAGAAGTGGGTTGCGCCATCGGAGCAAGGCTCTTCAGGCAACGAGTATTGGTTCCTCAACTTGGCTCTGTATTTTGAAGCATAGTACCATCCACATCCAATGTGAGACATTGCCACCACCAGTATTCCAGCAAGTCCTTGACCTTGTTTAAAAAAGAAAACATACCCATTAAATAATTAACTTGGTATCAGGTATTGAATATAATGATACATTGCACATGTTTACCATATATACGCAGACCTAGGAATTATTTTTTCTTCACTTGGGTCAATTCTAAAGATTAAAATGTTTAACTTTAAAAAAAGAGATCAATTGTACATTAGTTATTCAATCTCATTTTACACGAACAAACTCAATATATAATTCGTTAAAGAAAATTATTGGGGTCAGTTGACCCGTTCCTAGCTCCCCCGCTGGTATCTACTATCCCAAAAATTGAACTAAATTTAAATCATAATTGATGTATGGAGGGGAGGGCATGTACAAGATAATATTGGAAAATATTTACTTTTATTGAATTACTAATTATTGATGAACATTTTGAAAGTGTGATGAACAATCTACCTGGTAATATAGAATCGATTACATTTAAAACCGTTCTTTATTCAGAATAGTTAAATGGTACATGATGAATTGCTCTTTTTGGCCTTTCAAGTTTTGAACTCCATCAATGGAAAAGGATGAAGTTCTCAAAAAGTGATTAAAATAAAAGTGATCGATAGAACTTTTGAAATTTATTGGATGAATATTACAGTCCTATCAATCATTTCTTTTCAGATTTTATTAGATGAATATTAAACTCCTATCAATAATTTTTATTTTAATTAGTCACTTATTATTTTTTTGAAAACTTCATCTTTCGTTCCATTGATAAGGGTGTTCTTGTGTTCAAAAAAAGAAAGAAAGATAAGGGTGTTCTATATTAGACACAAAGTGTCCCACATCGGAAGTTGGAAGTGATTCTTAGTGATATATAAGATAGATGGACCAATCCACTTATCACCAATTGGTTTTAAGTTGGAAGCCCATCTAACTTAATATGGTATCAGAGCCCACGATAGTCCAACCCGATCCTTATCGATCTAGCCCAAAGTCGGCCCATCGATCCTTGCCCGAACATTCCGAGATTGACGCCAGAGCCCCATCATCTCGAGGGGGCGTATTAGACACAAAGTGTCCCACATCGGAAGTTGGAAGTGATTCTTAGTGATATATAAGATAGATGGGCCAATCCACTTATCACCACCAATTGGTTTTAAGTTGGAAGCCAATCTACCTTCACATTCTAAGAGAGGTTATGCTTTTCCTTTTATTTCTTTTTATTCTTTAGTTGTTCATCATGCCCATAAAAATTTATTGATTAACAAATTTGACATCTCCGAAATATTTTTTTTCTAAATAAGAAACAATCGAAAGTATATGAACATGTAGTTTTTTATATGTGGTTTAGGTCATTCAAAATTCAATAGTATATTTCATCTAACTAGCGATGTGAGATTCTAATAGTAGTATAGTGAAAGGAAACAGACTTGTTTCTCCTTTGTCAAGAATCTCAGCGATCCTCCCAAACGCAACGCAGGGACAAAACCATGTGAAGCAACCTTCATACCAATATACAAGCAAAAGCAAATAAATAGTTATATGACTAAACGGAGTATTTCTTTAAACTTGTAAGAAATACTTATGAAGCTAAATGATATTATTACATGTAGAGATATCTTCTGAGAAACAATCGTATAAACCAGTAGTCCATTGCCCTTCAGTGACTCTCTTCTCATCTTCGCCTACGTTTTTAGACATTCTTTTGTTTCAACAAATAGTTTATTTTCTGTAACCAGTAGCTACTGAAATAGTCTTAGATTATTTTCTGTAACCAGTAGCTTTATATATATCCTCAATGATGTTAATATATTCAGTTAGTCTTAGTTTTGAATATTGACTACAAATTTAATATATCTTTTCGTGCTGGTCACAAGAAAAGATAATTTAGAAATGCAACGTCGTGGTCACTTGTTTTCTCAAAGAAAAAAACGTGGTGGTCACTTGTTCCAAAGGAGAAGACTGTTCTTTCCAAGTAATTCACAATATCTTATATAATATTATTTGCCCAAAAAAAAAATCTTATATAATATAACTAAAAACAAAAAAATCTTGTACAATTTTATTCATTACTAATTGGTAATTCTTGTTTAATCATTTTGAACTTATATATCTGACATTGTCAAACACTTTTATTTTTGTTGGTTCATTGTCAAAGACTTGATGGTAAGAGATGTAAACAATGATTCTTCACCAGCACAAGTGGTAAATAAATTATTGTCAATGGATTGAACCTGTGTTTGACTCACGGTGTTTTTTTAAGAAATCGTGTTGTTTTGAGTAAATACATGACGCTTTTCCTTTTAATAAAGTTCATCGTTTCAAATTTACATTTTACGTTCACTTTAAACGGTATTGTTAACGGCGGAGTTAATTCACAAACGGAATCTTAGTTGAATTTTGTTTTGTCGAAAACTTAGTGAAGAATTCTTTTCCGATCTACTTATAGTTGAGAGATTTTATTGATGAAAATCTATATTTTTTCAACATATTATTGCTACAGCCTAGCTATGTTAATGATTGTCATTTTAACAGTTTTAATTACATAAAAACTGTTATTTCATAATTCCAATACAATTTTGAATTTAATATTAATTACAAACATATTAATTTTATAAAATAATATTATTTATTTTAAATATTAGTGGTTGAATATGTGTAATTAATTATAAATGTATTTTAGTTAATTTTAATTACGAAACATAGGGATTATTAATCAATAATGTAAGTCATATGATTGAGACGATTAAAAAGTCAGATTATTTGTCAATATCTATGTAGTTTCAAACCTTCATCTGGACAAAAAGTCACACACTATGCGACCAAGTTTTGAGGTTTTCTTGAATAATTCACTTTCGTGTTCTCTGAATAGTTGTACGTCTTTTTTGTCAACAAATTTCATCAAACGCTTCGAGAGATGATTTGTAGCACCGCAAAAATTCTGATTGAAATCACAAAATAAAAAAACATATAAATGATAATAGAATAAATATAAAAATGTTAAGAAAGCGTTGAGAAAAAGACAAATTTATAGAATCGAGATTTGATTTCTTTCCTCAACCAAATTAATTGTCTGTATTGTGTGAGGGTTTAAAAACAATTTTTGATTCTCATAATATAACCATGACGAAACTGTTTTGTATCACCCGCAACATAATCTATAAACAGTAACTACTACAAATATTCTCGAAATTTATCTAAAGAGAAGATTCGGCTTTTTTCTAAAAGTATTTTATTGCGTTTTAAACGTGTCAACGAATAGGCTAGGCGCTTACTTCTATGGAAAGGAGACTTGGTCGACAAACCAAGGATAACGATAATGATATAATATTATGAAAATATTGATGTTTATCGTGCGAGATGAGAATCAGAAATATTCCAATAGTTATCATGATGTTTTTCGAAATTATCTTAACACAACTTTTACATTTAATTTAGACTCAATTATTTAAGATTTATCTAGGTAATTATGCAATTTTGGTATGCATTTGCTCCCAAAAGAACATCTTATTCTGGACTGCCCACATTTACCAAGTCCCAAGACCCATGACCGAGTTCGGGCATTCATGGCCCGGCGGCAACCGCCACGCTTGTTTGTGGTTTGCATAATACACTATCTCATTCCTTCTCCATAGTGTCCATACAAGCTATTGAGCATTGATAATAGGGTGTCATATTTCTACTACAAGATTTATCTTGTGCTAAGCAATGTGGGATTTTTTACCTTTGTACTTCAATTAAATGAAAGATTTTTCATTTAGAGCCCAAAAGACATCTTATCAACATTTCTCTTCATATCTATAATAAATAATAAAGTAGTCTAATCTGCCTTTTCCTACTGTCACGTCACCCAGGAGCATGGGGGGAGGGGGTTTGGTGACACGTGTCGGCACCTCAGGCTACTTCTGTTTTGTTGCTTCCACCGAGTTTACTGATCCTTTTATTTTATCCGGGTTTTTATTTTATTTACAAATTAAGTCCAAAACTCAAGTCCAAACTATAGCACACCTGTTAGAAACAAACCTGGGATTAAATTTCCCTCTTCCGTGTTCCTCTTGCGCCGCGAACTCCATGATGAAATCCCACAAAAGCTTAAAGTGACGTTCCGATCTACATAACGTCTTCACCAACTATAACTCAGATCTTTATTCGCTGAACAAAACATAACGGCGACGGAACCCTCCGTCGTTCTTCCACGACGTTCTTCATGGGTTGGGAAGGGCAAAGATCATCTCCACGCTCATCCTTTTATGGGAACCTCTCCGAATTGATATAGAGATGTTACTCATCACCAAACAAGTAATGATTCTATTTACTATTCTTATATTCTCTCTAATTAAGAATCAAAAACCCTGACTAATTGCATTCATATTTAGGGCACTCTGATTACATGGCTTCATCTCCCCTTATCGTGTAGCGAAATACGAAATTGTACTGCTATTGATGCCAAATATGAAAAGTTGTATTTTGGAGTGATAAGTGAGAGTTTCTTGTGATCATCTTCTAAAACCCGAACAAATAAATCTAAGCAATGAAAAGATATGGTCATCTGTGTATACTCATTATTCCCAGCAGAAAGTAACTTCATGTATATTGTGTCTTCTTCTTTCTATTTGGAAAGAAACAATTTAATATGTTTCCATGTGTTCTACCGCAAGCAAAGGAGTTCCAGTTCTAGCTAACGACCTTGACGAAGAATGATATTACTTCTTTCTTGAAGAAGAATGATATTACTTCTTTCTTGAAGAAGAATGATATTACTTCTTTGGAGGTAGAGTATATGCAGTTTTGGTATTCATTTTATATGTAACTCCCAATCATTACTAGCTTAATGTCCTTCACGTCAGGACAAAGATATTAAATGGTCTTAGACTGAAGAGCTTAAAGGATTCAAGCCCCACTATCAGGTCAGTTTGATAGAATTTTTTTTTTCAGTTTAATTTTCAATTTTGATTTAGTTGAAAAAAAAACTTTCAGACGCAAACTTTCGAATTAAATTGCAATTGTAGTTTTCAATGACTAAAAACATGTCGTTGTGGAACTTGTGATTATAGTATTAATTATTTTTGTAGTTGCACAACATGATGTACAACAACAAGAGCATGAGAAAGCATCGTTGAAGCATGCTGTTAACAAGCCAGCAATTGGACGATGAATGCTTTTACCTTCAAAACATCAACCACTGCAGCTTATGTGGCCTTGATGGCAGCGCCCCCTCAAAGTTTATCTAAGTAGCGAGAGCATGACTGTGATGGAGCTTAGCGCAATGGTACAACACATGTTATTGGTACATTAATATGTCAAACTCTTTCAATCTCCACTACTGCACCGTAAACAAATAATCCAAGGAAACAATAATGGCTCATATATATTTGTGGCTTAAAGCAGCATGATAAAATTGTGGTCTTAATTATTTTGAAATTCCACGTTATTATAGTTCTACTAAAATTATACTATTATTGTTATAATTGTTTTTTAAAACAACACAATTTTGTTTTTTAAAAGAACTCATTTCAAAAAATATATATATGCTCAAAATTATTTATGTCATGCTTTTTTTTAGGTTAACCAAATCAATGAGATAGTAAAAGGTCACTTTTTTTTGTGAAACAATATTCATTAATCGGATAAACGAGGGAGGGGTCTTTTACACACAAGACAGAGCCTGTTTGGCAACATAGTCTGCTCTAAAATTATCAAGCCTAGGGATAAAATTAAACTTGATAGCATTAAAGAGAGGAGAAAGTAGATAGATGTCGTTGAGGAGAACTGCAATTTCAAGGTTCCTTCCTCGTGACTTCACAAGCTTAATCAGAGTCAGAGAAGCTAAGAAGATTGAGATCGTGTTTAATCCACGTTGGAGAGCATAGGTCATGGCGTTTCGCAAAGCCAAGGTTTCCGCAATAAGTGGCGACATGACAAAAGATGAGGTCGTTGAGTGAGATGAGGAGGATCCTGCATCATCGATGATCCAAGCAAGGCCTACGCACAAAGTCGAAGGATTCCAAGCAACATCTGTGTAAATGCAAGCTCGATTCGGGTCTAGATATGGATCCTGGTTGATACGGGTTACAGGGATTTGGGATTTGGGGAGCGTTTCTTGGGAGAGGGTCCATTATGTAGCTTCATATATGGCTTTGAGAAGCGTCTCTGTCGTTGTGAAGCTCCGCTTTTGGAAGATGAGTTGATTCCTGGAGATCTATAGATTCCAGCAAATCCATGCTAAAAAGTACATGTGTTCAGTCCAGAGGGAGGGAGAGATGGGATTCGTCTGAGGGTATCAAGCCCAACATATGTGGTAGTGATGTGTGACGGGTCAAATTCCACAGCTAAAGGCGCTAAGCTCCACACCTCCTGGGCATAACTACAGGTGAATAGAACATGTAATACCTATTCGACCTCATTACATCGTGTGTAACAGCTCGAGAACTGAATATTCCTGATAGAAAATTGCTCTCCAACAGGTAGAGCATCATGAAGGGCATTCCAGAGGAAAATTTTGATCTTCTCTGCGGTTTTTAAGACCCAGACGTTAGCAAACCAGTCTTCTAGCGTTGTGGGATCCAGTTCTTCGTCTAACAGAAGATCTTCGGATTGAGCTCTATAACCCGACTTCGCTGAGTACTCTCCAGAAGCAGTCTTGAGCCATACCAATTCATTAGGGGTATTGAAAAGAAAGGGTTTGATCTGTAGGATACATGCTTTATGGAAGGGGAGAA